GCACTGAAACAAGAATAGAGGGAGGAAAAAGGCTGTTTTTAACTTGAAATTACGACAAACCTGTAGTTCAAATATTAAAATTTATGACCACATTGATTGCATGCATACGCCCATAGTCTAAGAAACAATAATGAAGTTCAAATGGATTTGAAAAGAAGGGCTTCTTGGATTCAAACAACTTCTACTGGAAGTGCTGTTTGGCAGGGATACACGTAGCATAAAATATGGAAAAAAACAAAACAAAACTCCAAGGCATTTTCTTTTCAAAATAAAATTTAAATTTAAAATTCATTTTCACAACAAAAAACTCCCAACATGTTTCTGGCACACAGGCATTCATGAGGAGAAAATAAATAAATAAATAAATAAATAAATAAATAAATAAATAAATAAATACTGCTGAACTTATGTTTTTATGAAAAACAAAAAGCAAAATAAGCCATAATTTTGTTTTTGTTGTCGTATCTGCTCTGTATGATTTTAGCAGTGCCTTGAATTATTTCTTAATCTTCAGAAAAGATTAGGAAGGCACCTCATAAACGATTTCTTATAATGTCTGCTCTGATAAGAGTTGTTTTCTTACTTCCCAAAAAATCCAGTGCGCTTGTAGGACACTGGTATTCTGTCCTTGCTGTCAATATTCAGCTCCTCCTCGGCAGCTCTCAGCTTCTCCTCGAACTTGTCAATGTTGGCAACCTGCATTCTGTACATAAGCGCCAGCCTCTGCAAAGCATGAGACGTAGCAGGAAATTAGAATTAAGCATGAGGGTCTCCTGCGCTACTTTGAGTGTGTTAACAGTGTGTGTGTGTGTGTGTGTGTGTGTGTGTGTGTGTGTGTGTGTGTGTGTGTGTGTGTGTGTGTGTGTGTGTGTGTGCAGAAAATCATGTACAACATACAGGCCTTCCGAAGATGACTGCTCCGGGATGAAGGTATATTTCCACAATGTCACTCTCGGGAACGACCTGCACACGTGACACCTCCCCCTTGGCAAGCATCTCGTTCACAAAGTCGTTCCAAGAGATGTTACCGCCACTGGTGTTAATGGAGTTCAGCAGGCTCATGATGAGCGCTATGATGAAGAGGGTTCGCAGGCGTTCCCGGTACATCTGATCCTCCTGTTCACGCCGTTTCTTCTCCTCTGAAAGGTGAGGCCGAAAATAAAAAAATGAAATAAAGTAAATGACGTGACAAAGAAACCAGGTGTGGTGCAGGTATTTATCAGTTGCATCAAGTAGCAAAAAAAATATGCATCGCTTACCTTCATCTTCCTCTGGCGTCTTCCCCTTTGGCCCATTCTTTTTATCTTTGTTTTGATTAGACTGAGATGTACTGAAGAGATTTGTTGCCCCTGAAATCAAACAGTTTAATTTAAAGCAGCTATAAGTGAATTTTTAAACAACTTATGAAGGTAAACTAAGTATTTACCGAGTAAATTTGCCAAACCAACAGGGTTCCTGAGCAGGTTGTTCCTAATTAGCTCTTTTCTAAGTCCCACCAAGCTAGGCCCCAAAGGTCTGTGGAGAAGACTCTGTTATGGGAATATTGGAGAAAAAAAGTGGAAAGAAATCAGAATCAAAATCAGAACTAGAAAACCTAGTTAAATCAAAAGTGTGTAAATTTATTATCAACAAATGTGTTTACAACTTAAGGAAAAACAACAAACAATGTCACAATCTCAAATTGAAGACTTTCCAGAGTAGAATAAAAATAAGTTATTAAGGCATCTGTGACGGTTCTCAGTCATCCAGGTCATCATAGTCTAAGGAGAAAAGCCTCTGGACTTTTTTTAAGTTTCCTTGAAGAAACTTGAAAAATTCCAGACGCTTTTCTTTCCACGCTCCTTAGACAAGTGATTAAGGCGATCATATTTGACACTTTCAAATTTAACAAGTTAAATCATTATAATAAAACTATACCATATATGTGAAGTAAATCTCAGTAACAACAGTGCAGAGAGATTAATATTTTCTTACATGAAGAAGGAAATTTGACTAGAGCCATGGATACTTCTGATTATTTTATTATTAGATATCAACCTCAGTTGATGCCAAAAAAGCTATTAGCACTGTTTTGGGAGGTAAAATTACTTATAGATCAAGTGTTGAAAAATCAATCATGTTGAGCCTTCTGCTAAAAAGATATTTCCTGGCCATTTCTTTAGGTACACCTTGTCCTCAGACCTGCCTTAATCCTTTGTGACATAGATCCAATAAGGTGCTGGACAAATTTCTCTGAGATCTTGGTCCAGATCGACATGATAGCAACACAGCTGAGTCATGGACGGATCAGGATGGATTCATGCTCTCATGTTGTTTATGCCAAATTCTGGCCGTGCCATCTGAATGTGACAGAAGAAATCAACTCAACAGACCACGCAATGTTTTTCCAATCTTCTATTGTCCAATTTTGATGAACCTGTGTGAAATTTAGACTCAGTTTTCTGTTCTTATCTGACAGGAGTGGTCTTCTGCTGCTATAGCCCATCTGCTTCAAAGTTCAGCTGCTCAGAGATGCTCTTCTGCTCAAAGCAATCTGGGAATTCTCCTCTGACCTCTAGCATCAACAAGGCATTTTAATCCAGAGAACCATAGGGCACCGGATATTTTCTCTTTTTTGGATCATTCTCGGTAAACAAGAAGAAACCCCCCTGCAGAACAGCATTTTCTGAAATACTCCTGTCTGGCATCAACAACCATCAGTCATTTAAACCACCTTTCCTCCGAATGAAGTGGCCATCCATGGCCACTCATCCTATTAGTTACTTCACTCTTACCTGTATGAGTTTCTGTTGCTGCTGATCTGTAAGAGTCCGCTCTGACTTTATAAGAAGCGTCTTCCTCACGTGATCACACCTAGATGGGACATTTTGAACACCGCGGCTGGATAATGGCTTGCTCTCCAATACATAACAGTTTCGCTTCAGCAGCGTCCACAATAAACCTCTGCTGTATTTGCGACAAACACCAGCACTTTGCTGCAACAACAAAGCTGACATAGTGGCTGTCGTTAGTCGAAAGCGAACATTTAACGGAGCTAATGCACCGACATAGCTGTCTCCGTCTTCTCGGAGGTTTAGAGCTCGGTTTGGAGCTCGAGCTCGTTGTTATTCAACCGCTCAGCCGGGCAAAGACGTCAGCCCTGCGGGGACCTACTTCGGCGCGGGGAACTCACAAAGACTGTTTAATTTTTTTTTTTAAAAATCGTATTTCATCATTATTTACTAATCCTCGTTAGAGATACATTGTATGTTTAGTATGTGCAGAATGCTAAATAATACAGTTAAACGCATCCCGGAAGTCGAACTTTGAACTTTAACCTTTCTTTGTCGATCTTTAAGGACCTGCAAGCTGCGCATATGTTTGCGCAGGATTTACGCAAAACAGCTTTAAAGCAGCACATTTACGACACATCAGAGAGTACAGTTACCTTTACCCCCCTCTTTATTGTTGCGAAATTAACCGCAATTTTCAAAGGATTAAAAAAAAAGTAAAAATGTGTGTAATGTATGTAAACGGTTTAAATTAGCAAATTTACTGCTTCCCGTGAAGCCTGCAGTAAAGCGTTGTGGGTGTTTGTTTACTTGATTTTTCAGTCAAAGATTTATCACTGGTCCACCAGAGAGCGCTGTTGGTTAAGATGATTAAGCTGTTTTGGTACGGTGCGATTTAGCAAAATGAATGCATATGAAAACAGACAATGTTGGTTACGTGGGGTTAGATTGAGAGCAGGGTGCTTTTGTGTTTCGGTCCAGTTTAATAATAATAATAATAATAATAATAATAATAATACCCGGTATTATTAATGTGAATAAGCTTCAGTCAAGTAAGAAGAAAGGCTTTTGTGGATAATGAAAACAATGTCGTAGTAACGCAGACTGTATGGAACTGTATGTACAGGTCTGATTGAATGGCATTAAAGTGACCCAATGAGAGTTTGGAGTTTTCCTTTCGGCCAATAGGAGCATTCGTATCATCCGTTCACGTATCAGTTTAACCACGGGTCTGTCAGGTTTGTTCACCAGCACGCTCCGGTTTCTTCACAGACTCATCAGCCGAAAGCTGCACTTAGATCACGTCATTAGACATATAAAAGGCCGTGAAACATGCATATCTTAAGAATTATAATAAAAAGTTTTCCAGAGCGTTTTTCACGCGGATAGTCGTTTACAATTTCAAAGTATCAACCCCAAACCGCCGATAGTGTTGTTTAAATTATTTTACATTCATTAATAAATTCTTAAATACTAAAAAATATGCCAGCGAGTATGATGTATGTATAACTACTATGACTTATGATGATACAAAATGTTTTCTTGCGGGTTACCAGGCCCAATGGTATCAAGAAGGTCAGTATAGCTAAGCTAAAAAGACTTAGAGGGGATAACTACTGCTCTAGTACTAAATGAGTGGTAAATGGACTTAAACGGATTGGTTATAGAATAGCAGTGTGCATAGAGGCACACACCGAGGTCCTGTAGGTAATTATGTGAAGCTGCAGGTGTTTAATTATCACAGGGATCCCCCCCCCCCTCTCAATAAGTGTCGCAAAATAGCTCTCATCAGGGTCAGGCAACACGAACTCGCGAATGTCTTTAATGTATAGTAGACGTATGTGCGCCTGCGCGACAAAGTCTGTCTGAACTATTTTGTCATAAACAAGTGCTTCCACTTACTGATTCGAGCCAACCGGCGTAAACGTGTCTAGGAACATGTACCACGCGAGCTGGCAATGCGTTTTTATAAAGACAGAAAAACGAGTGCACCCAACGCCCGTACTCCATTTCCTTTTCGTGGTCCTCCAACTATATAATGGAGCGTTGTCTCAGGCGTTTGAAACTGTGACACATGGGCCGCCACGTTGGGGCACGTCTCAAGCTTGGACAGAAGGGTGGATAGGGTGGTTGTGCTGATCCAAAATGGCGTCGTTTTCAAAGTGCACTGCAAAGGTATCCGCCTACAGCATCGTAGCCAATCAGAGCTCGCGTTTCATCCGCGACTCGTTTCCGTGCCGAGCGTCCCCGCACACTGTATGCTAAGGCCGCTCGAAAACCGCTCGAATGGTTTGGCGGAGAGGATTAAAGCGAAACAAAAATAACATCTTTTGATGGCTTATATTTACCCAAGCTAGCCTCGAGCTACATAGGTGGACCGTTAAAGGTCCGTAGTTTTTGGAGAAGATGAAATAGCAACGCTGTAAACGAATTCTCGTGGATATTTTAGTGTTTTTTCTGTGGACGTCTGTTTGTTGGTCTACACGATTTTAACAAGCTAGCGCTAGCCTCGACTCGAATGAGCTGCGATGGTCGTCGCAAATTTATGCGGATGTCTCCGGAGCAGTGTATAGTGAACCGACGGCGACAAATGGGACCATCCAGCATCGGCGGAAAACACCACGGCGTAGACTAAACGTTAAAGATTCAGTAACTGGTTGAAATTGTGGGAATCAGACAGAGGTAGGTGTGCTTTTACTCTCCCTGCAAAGCTAACATGGCAACAACAACAAACTGACTCCTGCTGTCCCCGAGATTAACCCGTTATTATGGTGTGAATGTGCAATGTTTTCGTGCATTTACTCTTTTTAACCAGCGCTTTGACGTTGTATCGCCATTGAACTACATGCACTTTGTTTTTTTCCTCTTAAAATATTAAGAATTACTTCTCAAGTGCAGCTTTATTGAGGGGTTATCCTCTTCATCCCCCCTCCCAAGTGATCCGAGTTTGAAAGAAGGAATCCCTTCTCTTAGATACACATTGAGAAATTGTCTACACTCTGAAGCAAAATTTATTTAGTTGTGGTGAATCATTTTTTGAGCTTGATGTGATTGTCAATGTGTTGACTCTTTAAAATTAAGTCTAAATATCTTAGTCAGCAGCCAATACTGCAAACATTGGTACCCCATGCCCACGTGTGGCATTACTAACAGAGTAGCGCTGTGCGTGTGTTTTTGAAAGGTTTTTGCAAGCAAAGGTGGTTTGATGTAAACTGTCCGCGGTCTTTAGGCTAATAATTGGCTTATTTGTATATTTATACTTTAAGACTAAGGGGCACCTTTATATCCCAGACAATAATTAACATGACATTACTCAAGAGAGTGTACCAGTAACATCCAAATCTTGACCTATTTTCAAAAGGCACAGTAGCATTGCTCGTTTAGCTGGTGACCTAACGCAATACTGGTCTTCCAGCTTTTCCAGTTAGGTTAGCGTCTTAATTCTCTAGCTCTTATGCATTTGGATATGCTTTGGATTTGTACAACCCTGTATGTAAACAAAGCAATGAAAGACATAGTCAAAGCTGAAACCAGTGAAGAGGATTTGTTTATGCATTGCGGGTCCACAGGCTGTCCGGATTTTATCACTACGTGCTTGCATACAGTTGGAGCCTAACTGTATGAATGGATAACTATCTAAATTGGCAGTGTCGGTTCAG